CGATGGTTATAATGCTTTACGATTCTGCATCTCAAAGCTGAACCCGAATTGCGAAGCTTTTTACCAGTATCCAAGGCGCAAATGGTCTCCCTAAAGCTTAACCTGGTTCGAAAATCGGTCTCTTGGTGTTAACAAGTTAGGATGTATGATGAAAGAAATCAGCCTGGAAGCCCAACTCTCTCAGCTTTACACAAATCATTGCGTTCGTGCTACAGCAATAACCGTGTGGTCTGATGCAGGTCTGTCTGATCGACATATTATGTCCATTTCTGGGCACCCCGAAACGAGCAGTCCTTGAAAACTACAATTCCCGGCCATCTTCGATGCAACTTCAGCAAAGCAGCGATGTCCTGTCCAAAGTTCTTACAACGAGAGATGATTCCTCTTTCCAGTCTGAGAACAACAAGTCTCCTATCTGTCAACAGTTGCCGTGTTCGAGGCTATGTTCATCAAAAAAATTGTCCGTTCAAACAAATCCGGTGATTGAAAATACTGCTTTTGCGCACATGTTTTCTAGCTGTTCAATTGGTTCAGTTCAAGTTAATTTCAGCAATCGTCGCTAAAAGTAATCTGATTTGTTGTTGCTGGTCTGTTTTTACAATATTTACTAATTTTAACAACTTAAACTGTTTCAATTTTAAAAGAATTTGCTTTGGCTCCGTGATGCTTTTGTCGTTGTAAAATTGAGAAGCCAAGACGAACGAACAGCGGGGGGTCCATCGTTCGTTGTAAATAACGTTATGAGAATTTGCAATTAAATCGAGTAAATTTTTTTATAAAATCTTCTTTCTGAGTTATATTATAAAAGAAATAGAAAACATTTTTTCCTGTGTTTCTATACAGTTATAGAAACACTTGTGGGAGTTCGGGAGAACTCGAAATAACGTGGAAAAACTCGCTCTACGTGCTCGTTTTCCCACTGATTATTTCTCGTTCTCCCAAACTCTTACGCGTGTTTCTATAGCGGAAAAAAATGTTTCTACAGCAGAAACACGGAAAATGTTTTCTATTTCTTAAATAGAGACTGTTTTTGGATTAGCCCTGATTAGAGAGTTCGAGAATCCCTTTCTAGGGATTTTGTTTGTAAAAATACGTGTTTTTTGTTAACGCCTCAAAGCTATTATCAAAAAGTGTGAAAGCCTCTTTTGGATTCAACTGTGACCTACAAGCTTTCGCCATGTGCCTATGATATTTCTGGCTTTGCCCACAAACGTTTTAGCTCAAAGGACAGACGAAGATGATATCTTCATATGAACATATGAAATATTCTTTGAGTTTATTTTTTAAACAATTTCATCGTTCTTTTACTCTAAATTACTTTTCTTCATTTCTTCACTATTATAATGAATAAATGACAACTTGCCTCGTGGAGCCTAACACTTGGTTTCACACATGGCGGTGATTGTTGCAATAGAAAACTGGCATAATTACGTACGTCAAACGCAAAAGCCTAATGTTATTCCAAGTTTGATTGGCTCATTAGTTTTGTGGAGCGAATCAAACATCTTGTAGCCTGCTGGAAACTTGAAGCCAAATCTCGAGGTTATGCGCAGTCTTTTCACGCAAATAAACACACGTTTTTTTCAAACTTTAAAGATAATACTTCAACATGCAAGCAAGCATTAAAAAGTTCTTTTAGAGGACATAAAGTTCATTTTCCACAGCATTTTTACGATAAAAACATCCGTGAAAATTACAAACTATAGTATTTTATATTTATCTGTATCAAACTCGCAATATCTTCTTTTTTTATGAAAAACGTTGAACTTGCGCACATAGTTTGTTTGTAATTAAACTTTTCTCTGATAATGGCCCGAGCTCACGGGCCGAAAGCTTAGAAATCTAATAAATTAAATGGTGTAAACCACAAACAATTAACAACTTTATTTAATAACACCATGCAAAACTTCAAAGAAATCCCTTTGTTTAATTGACAGCGCACGCAAGCGCATTGAGCCAGCATTTAGTTGGTGCACGCGGTCTTCACAGATCTTCACTTATACCTAATTACTTCGTCACCAAACAAAATTATAAACGAACGCGTTCTAGCATGGCACAAAAACATATTTGTTTACACGCTTCCTCTCCTCACAAAAGGTGAAAACATCGACACGAAATGCTTTCGCAAATTCGACAAATTTCTGATGGCAATCACAACACAGTCTTCGTAAAGAACAAAGAGCAAAAGTTCAATTTAGATAAAGAAATACATGACTTGGAATGTTGGAAACAATCTCGGAATCATGTTTATAGAAAGGAAGAGAGAGAATTGCTAAATCATCTGGACAAACTTAAGCAACATTTGCATCATCTGGACGAGGAACGAAGTGGTCACGTCAGGGGAAGTCAGGCCTCCACGCAAAGAAGGCACAGTACGCAAGATCCAATTCCCTTGGCTGATAACGCCAGTGTACATTCGCCTTCCAGGAGACACAGTACAGAAGGTTCGTTTTAAACTATAATTTATACAAGAAATACTTTCACAGTTGTAAAATCCCCTCGCCGATTTCTTTCAAAAGGTAAAATATATTGCCCACACGTTAATAGGTTTGTTCATTTTTGTCATCTTCATCACCTCTGGTTGACCTATTGCGTTCACCTTTCATTCATTTCTGTAAATTAAATGCCGGGCATTCGTGCTTCTTCAAAGGTAGCGACAGTGCCAGTGTGAATCAAACCTGAGGCCCGCTATTATTTCAAAAATAGTGAATACGGTACATAAAACCCGGGTATTTAAACAAGACTTCCTTCTAATGGTGTATTTGGTAAGTCAAAAAGTAAGTGTTTTATAACAAGGGATTGCGTTCTAAACTAATCGGCGAATTTGTTTACATTTTTAAGGCTAAATTCCTGTTCGTTAAGCGTTCTTAAAAGTCAGTAAAGAACTTACAAGTCCGAAGAACTTGTAAAAGATGTGCCGCAATTCAGACCCTTTCCAGGAAGGTTTTGTACAGTACACGACCAAAAGCACTCAAACTAATTTAACGTACTGAAAGTGCTTCAAGGCTAGTTTTTTCGATCGAACAAAATTTTTCGCAGATTGATGTGAGAGTTCCCTTGATCATGACCGGTTCACAATTGAAAAGAAAAACAAGCGAAAAAAAAAACAATACGCCATCGTTAAATTCCTTGCTCCACCAGAAACATGCAGTCTACACGCCTTCAGAAACGGCCTTAAAGATAGAGTTAAAAATTATAAATTAAAAATTTAGAAATGGATCCCCATACAACACCAGTGCCTTCGGTCACACCAACTGCAATACTGCCTCCGGTGAAATCTGGTACGGACAAAAGAGCATTACATCGTACCGATGCTCACACAAATATTTGCCTCATATGTCAGTTACCAAAATGGTCTCATGGTCGGCCCTCAGGCGAGGAAATATGCTGCTGCGATCACGAAGGAATGAAATCCTTGACGAGAAGGTATACCACGACAGGATACGAAGCGCACGGCGCACGGCACTTTCCGCCTCCGATACAGATTGGTCAACGACGTCATAGCCTGATGATGGCTCGCCTGAATGAAAACCAACACGAGCACCAACCACACCCACCTGAACACGGGTATACAGGTAGTAAATTCATGTATTGCGATTGACATTATAAGAAACGTTTACGCTCCTGCCCAAAAATAAGAGCTAGTGAAAATCATCTCTACAAACCAATCATTCATAACTTTTTTCCATAAGAATGTTAAACTTGAACTAATATATGTGACACGTTCCAAAATAATCAGGGAGCAGCGTGGCAACGTCTTCAAACAACTTAGCATCAAATGTGGTATAACAATTACCTAAAATAGTCGATAAGTGTTTTATCTATTTTAGGCCGTTGTTATACCACATTTGATGCGAATATCTGTGAAAAGTTCAAGGTTTATCATTCTGTACAAGGATATTTACACTCGGGGGACGTGGATTTGATTTATTTCTACGAAGAGGTCATCGTGATTTCCCACCTAGATATTACACTTATATCTAGTCTGGATAACACGTATTTCCTTCGAGTGACAGTTAAACAAAAATGATTCTTATACTTGTCATTGCCTATATTGCGTCGCAGGCACTCTTGTGGCTACCAGCGGCAATAACCAGTAACCAGCACGCGTTTCGATGTTTTTTAACTGCAGGAAAAGATGAAAAACATTCTGGTGACCACTTGAACAAGCAACAAGATCACATACATATTCATCGTCACGTGCACAATCATGTTCATATGCATCACGATCCTGGACACCACGATAACTTTAATCGTCACCAGCACCAAATGGAGCACGCGAATAGCCATAGAGGTCACGTGCAGAAAAATACCATGAATATGCACGGTGCGCAAGGACCACACGTAATAGATCAACATGGCCACCATTCCTCTTTGCATGAACGCGCCCATCATAAACAACACACACGAGAACACACTGGAGATCGGCATGCTAGCGAAAATCAAAGACATGATTACCATGGCAACCATGCTGCAAAATTTACACCCAGCAACTCCCCACGAAGATACTCCCGGCAATCATTTACCCACAACGAGCCACAAATATCCCAACACGATCCGATGCATCATAATGGGTCTGGACATCGGAATTACGGAAGACGCCATTCGACGATCGGAAGCTTTGGATATAGTGCCCAGCAATCTGATACACGAACGCGCGATCATGAATTACACTGGGACCGACACCAAGTGTGCCAGTTAAAGGGAATGATAACAGATCCGCACTATAAAGAGCAGCTGGAAGTTGAAAGTGGTGGAACATATCCCTGGTCAGGGCTCTACGCTCCAAACAATGTCAGCATTGAGGATATCAACAATATGAAAAACTGCCGGTATTTACGATTTTCAAAGTTGAATTTGATGAATATGAAGGAAAATCCAGAGGAAGAAGTGGAAGTGTTTGAAAAAAATCAACTGCCTGAATAGATCGTTTGCTGTATCTCAAGGGATGTTATCGTATCATAAATTTTGCATCGAATATTGCATTTTATTCAAACTTTACGTAATGTAGCATGTATATTTTTACCATGATCATGCCTATTTCCTGAAATGAAAGCGTCACAAAAAATAACATATCTTGTTCAATGGTATGAAGTTCAAATTCAATCGATTTTTCAACACAAGAATTGATAGACTTTAAGCAACGAATGGTGTAATATTTTGCCAGAGTTTCTAACTAGACAATGACGACAACCTTAGTCAAGTTCTCTTATCTTCTCGTTCCACCTTTAAGGAGTTTAAGATGCTCAAATCTACGACGTGGACGAACATGAAAACAGCAGCTAGTGTCAGGAGCCCATTTTTGAATGTTTATCGTACGGCTTTGACCAAGTACGCATGTTGTCAAACTGTGGGAATAACGGAAGTATTACTTCACGTACGCGTCGTAGTCTCTATATTAGACGGATTTAGATTTACGACATGCACTACAAAGACAACGTGAAAATGGCGAATAGCTGACGTGTTGCGCCTATATATTATGGACATGCCACGTAATTTATTCACCATTTTCATGTCGTTTTTTTCGCGTCCCAAATCTTAATTTCTTTATTATGACGTGAATATGACTGTAAAAATATTACGATAGCTGCATTCGTTCCAACGTTCCTTGGTGTGTGTAATGATGTTGTTACATGCAACAAACCACTTGACTCCAAACTGAGTGTTTCTCATAAACATCAAAATTCCGCATTTCGAGCAAGAAATCTAGAGATAAAATAAATATTGTGGAGGATGGTGAGTGGACATGTTGATATGGCGTTAGAGGCAAAGCCTGTGTCTATAGGAGATTGAAGTGGAGGTGCTAAGCAAAATTTCTGAAATGATGATTGAAAAATGTAAACATTCTCCCGACCAGAGGAGAGTCTATTGAAAAATTGGGATACGGCTTTAGATTAGAAAAGTCTTAGTAGGGTGGAAATGGCTTCTTTGGGGAGGGGAAGTGAGCAATGAAAGGCTGACTATTGTCTGCGAGATTAGTAATCTTATTACGCGATAATTGCCTAGGCGGGGACGAGTTGAGAATAATCGTTAAATGAGACATACCTAGCAAAAGAGAGGACTCTTTTATATCAAGATCCTTGCACGTCGCCAGCAGTTTTTGGATTGTCTGAAAACAAAACGGTCATTGGGCGGTCATATCAAGGCAGCTTTAGAAATCAACCACAAAATGTATTAGAAAAATTTACGGGTTTATTAAAAATGCATTTTTCCGACCACGGAGGCGTAAATTATAAGTAGAATGAGGATCTCCGAACAAAAAATTCCTGTAAAAAACTGCGACATTGTAATCTCACGACAATTTCGTGAACACGGCATTCAAATTTTAACACTGAGTGATTTCAATAGTTTTCGGGGTTTTATGGGACACCCTGTATATACCACCGTCTTGGTATTTATATTCGTAGCTTAACCGGATGCGCGATCCAAAGGTATTCATATCCATTCTTGCGCGAATGAAAAACTGTCTCTGATTCACGAATGTAATTAAATTTAAATTAGCATAGTTATTGCTTCGAAAGAAATTGGTACAGCTGACCGCGGAACAACGAGTGTTTATTCTGATAAATTATACGCGAAGCCAAAGTACAACGGAAGTGCATGCGAAAAGTTTTTCGAAGAAAATCGACAAAGGAAATTTTACTGCATCATGCATAAAAATGCTTGTGGCAAACATTTATTATACACCTGTATCCCAACAGAGTGCTTAGTCATTCAAACTATAACAATTACATTGTTATGGGTGATTTCAATAGTTTTCGGGTTTTTTTGAGACACCCAGTATATTCCCATGAATATATGTTCACTCTCGATGGGCCGGATATTATAATAATCCAGGTTGTTGTTGGGCACCTCTAAGCTTACCTCTTCAAGACGTCCTTTCCATTGCGGCTGTGCAAGCAGGAATGCAAAACTATACGGAAACAGATTTTTGATCAAAGCAAACCATGCTTGATGATTCTGGAACAGGTTGTCCTGTTGAAGTGCAAGAATTATCTGAAAAATGCCATTGTCGTATCCAGATATTGCCAGTGTGAACGTAGTTAGAAGAAGTAAAACTGTCTGCAAATTGAACAAAGTAAATGGTGTATTTGTTAGTTATTTCTTAATGCATAAAAATCTTTGGCAAAATGATCATCGATAATTTCAACTCCTTTTCTTGCAACTCTGATAACTGATCATTTGTGTTTTAGGCACATCTGAGTATAGTATGGTAACTTCTGACATTTCTATCCCGATGCTTCTCATCTCCCATGCGTCCGACACTTGTGGCGTGTAATAATAAAGGGTTAGAGACTTTATGTTCGTGTTTTGTTGACAAATAAATGCACGCGCTGACCATACAATAAACGAGAAATTTCAATATTGCACGAGGCCGTAGGCCAAGTGCGATATTGAAATTTCGAGTTCATGGTATGTTCAGCAAGTGCGTTTATTTGTAAACAAAACACAAACATAAAGTCTCTAACACTTTTAATATACAATCTCAGTTAATTGATTGCTGCATTGAAGATCCAAGCTTTGTTGCAGGCTGTCATTTTTGAATAAACCACGATTTTCATGGGTTATTGCGGAAAAAAAAAATTTTAAAATTGGGAATAAATTATGATTCCCATGATCTGTCGCCAGGCAACAAGATTGACCACGTGATTGATTTTGACCAATCGCGTGAGTAGATTTAGGCCAATGCACAAAGATTGTATATTAATGTAAATTTATAGTTCTTCAAAGAGTGCCGATTTTCACGATTATTGAATCGAATATATAATGAGTTAATGTAATGACATTTTCATGTGAATTAAGATACCACCCTAACACAATGAAATGTGATCGATGTCATATTACGTGATTTTTTCGCTAAAACATTTACCCCGACTTCACATTCCATTGGGATATTATCGGCTTATCAAAGTATACGCAACAGGAGTACCCCATCGCTACCTTAGTTTCACTTTTTGTAGACGAAAGTTCTGCCAAGAATTGCAAGATCCATTCCGTTGAAAGCCTGCTGTCACTCCTTAATTCCACACAAGATATTGTCGAAACAAGAGACATCATTGCATCGTATTTTACATCCACTAAAAAAGTGACAAAGTTTAAACGAATAGGAAACATAAACATTTGCCGGGAAAAACTTGTTCATGAAGAGATATCGATTCAATTTATATCGTAATTTTTTAAGACCATGCATCTCGGGACAAAAGACACATGTCGACGTTATCTGTCAGCTAGTATGTTGAATATCAATAATTAGTGTAATCACAAAGGTGATAATTGAAAATTCTGACCACTGATTGGTCGAAGGATCTTGGATTATCACGCCAATTATCACCTATAAGTGGGTTTTTCAAAATGGCGACAGTTGTTTCTGTCGAAGTCACAGATAAAGAAATCAAAAATCTCCTTCTTAAAACAATTCTTCACCTCAGGGTCGGTGAATATAAAACTCATTCCCAATAAATCACTTAACATATTAATAAAATATACTTCTTACTTGAAGAGAGAGTAAAATCAATACAAGGCTTAAATAATTTCTTCAACATTGATGGATTTTCCAGGATTATTCTTCTTCTAAACATAATGCTCTTCGCAAAACTCTCCTAAACATAAAATATCGTTGCAAAATCAGTTATCTACTTTTAACCTTGGCATATGTTAGTTAAAGAGAAAGAAAGATGTACGTCATAGATAAAAAATATAGTAAACAGTTTTTAACCTCTGTTGGTGCCGTCAAACTCTCGATTTTATGAGATTCTAAACATTGAACACAAGCTACTAGTTTCGGTACAAGCATCTAAAATGAATCAGTAATTATATTTAAACAGTCTGCCAATTAACCTTTTACCAAAGACTTTTACCAAACTATGTCTACCTAACCGAGAAATTAAGCTTTTTCCATACTCGACCTACGAGGAAACAGGGAATCAGAATTAGATTTACATTTGTACCTTCAAATCTACCGGAAAATAATTGTATATCTTCTCTATGGTCTCTTTAATACAAAGGGATTTTGGAGGCTCGGGCATATGCATTACAGAACAGAGACCATCCAGGATTGCTTCAGCTATTCTTGTGTCGACCTTGAACGAATTTGTATCGTATTAGAACGATGAACGCTTCCCTTTGCTACATTTATTTTACACACGAATCAACCGAGTGCAATTATAAACTAAAACAATATTTCATCATGTAGATCCAGAATGATCAATTTGATTGGCTTACAGCCTAACGTAAACAAACGCGCGGTTTCGCCCTTGTTGCATAGTCTCAAAAGGACTCTCATTGGATTTCGCGAATACGGTTGTTACGAATATGGTTGTGGACAATAGCTACTATAGTCTTGTCGAGAAACAAACTAGTTGTAGCCTGAAGACGGACTGTTCAAAACGTTGCTAAAATAAAAAATAAAAACCTTTTGTGGAATATTGTTTTGAAACTAATTTATGAAATTGAAAACAAACTGTCACAATGTGTTTAGGCATTTTCGTGCAACACATGATTTCTCGGAACCGGCTGCGAGGTGTGGATGTAAAAAAACTGTGCCCGAGGCCAAACATAACAAAATGCAACAAATTTAAGTACCAAATAACCTATAAAAATTATAAATTCTGTAGCCTAGATCATGCAGTTGTACACTACTTACCATAGCGACTAAATCACGGCAATTTGATTTAAAAACGTATTGACAGGCGAAAAAGGCGTAAAAATCGAATTATGAAGTTTTTAGGCATTTTTTTATTATCGACATTCTTTTGCCGTGTGGAGAAAAGTTTTTTTTATCGTTTTGTTCACATTCACAGCTAAGCACTATGAAACGCTCCTTCATTACTTCAAACGAATTAAGAAGATGCATGAAGACAGAAAAATATGCAGAAATGATGATACAGTACCTCGTCGTTAGAAAAATATTTCGCCGCAATATCCAAAATATTTGTTAATTTCTTCGCAGAAAGAATATTCAAAAGTTGAGGCAAACAGGAAAATAGTCGAACTTGACAATCAGTCTAAAAGAGAACACAGAGCAAACAATGAGTCAGAATCACACAAGCTAAAATTTTGAAACAGGTGCAACAATCATGGTCCATTAGGTAAACGGATATCTTCATTTATCTTCACGGAAATTTAGTATTTCAAGTATAATGAACATCGTTGAAGACTACTATTTACTGTATCCTGGCACGTGCCGATATTATTCATTCCTTAATGAATAACAAGACAATTCGTGATTGTAAAGGACTTCAATCACATATAAATTCCCTTAAATCTTAGGTACCGTAATTTGTTTTATATAACTCCAATTTTGTTGTACTTTTATTGCATCGATTATATTCCTGCGCGCTTTACGTGTGGTATTGTATTTGTATTTGTATATTGTATTATCGAACAGAGCTAGAAGTTTTGATCTTTCTTCAACGAGCTAAATTCTACGTATGTAAGGTGCGCCACACTATAAAAAATAAGCTATGTAGTAGGAAAATCTAAAAGCATTTATATAAAACACATTAGACTATGATAATCATGTTGCATGCGGCGTTGCAGCTTCTTTATATAAATGACAATGGCCTTTACCATGGAAACGTTTATATAGCTACATGTGTATTTTGTAAAGTGATGTGATCACGGATTCAATTCAATGATATCAGAAGAACAGATCGTATAGATCACTATCATATAGATTGTGTGACTATATACAATGGAACTTACAGAAAAAGATAAGTAAACCGATTGCGTCAGCCAACTTGGAAGAAAACGTGCTGTGGCTGGCGATGGTGTTGAACATAATGCAAGTTCCAAAAAATGGAGGGTTGTACTCTTTCCTTCAAAGAATGAACAAAAATTTATCCAGTTAGGAATTTTAGGGGAGCAAAGAATGATCCTGTAAACATGCAGAATGGACTCAGTCCGTCCCATTTGCAATAATTATATTAAAAATTGACACTAAAGCTTTTTTTAGATTAGCGACTTTTGCTCTTATTACGAATAAATGCACCAAAACGACCATGACTGCAAATGTATATTATAGGTTGAAAAGGAGGCAGTATGAAGTACCGCTCTCCCTCCTTTCCGATTTATAATCGATACAACTGGCACTGCTTAACAACCAAGTGCCAAGTTTACTATACAGTCATACCAACCTGTATACATTTTTATCAAAGGAGTTATGATTCCGTTCCAGTCTACAGGAGGCAAGGTTTCTTTTGGACCGTAAGTTAGCACCTGAAGTATTACATTGAGTACTTCTTCCGACTCTTTGGTTACTAAAACATAGTGAACGCAAAAAATGAAAAAAAAAATGTATTCTGTGGAAAATAAAGAGAAATACGTTCGCGCCAACCTTCTTTCCCCAAACTGATCATGAGCTGAATTAACCAGTTTAACACAGAGTCCTCTCCAAGGTAGTCCAATGTATCCGGAACTTGAGAAAAGTGAATTAAATACTACTGATTTTAAACTTGGTTTTTAAGTACAACTCAATTGCTAAAAAAAAGCGAATGACGTCAATATAAACTACGCTTGTACACAGAAAATGTGATTCTGCAAAATATATATATCTTTACATTGAAATAAAGCAATCTTCACTGCGAATGTCTTTTGATCATGCTGTGAACAGGTGTTTCCCATTTACAGAAATTCTAGCACGCCATTGCACAAGAGTGAAACGGTACTTGCCGAATAACATACCATTTGGTTGATTGCATAACCGATTCTTGCTGGCATAGTATAATTTCCCGAGGTTCTTGAAAACAGTTCCGCTTAAATTGTAGTCACCCTGGATATTGAGCAGCTTTACAATAAAATGTGTAATAGTATTATTGAATAAGTTATATGTGCTTATCATTATAAATATATTCAAAATTTCTTATGTGTTTACCTGTTTTAGAATTTTAACTCCGTCTTCAGGCGTAATCCCCGCAGAATTGCTTGTCTATAAGAATAACATCATTTTGTAACTTGACAAAATTGGAACTTCGAATGTCAATGAGCTTAATCTTAATCTAAAAAGTTGTCTGTAATCGAAATGAAAAGTTTGTCGTCTGAAACGGCCGTAAGCGGCAAAAAAATACAAAAAATTCTGATGAAAAATAATCAAAAAAAATGTTCAGACTGTTTTTCGATAACTTGGCTTACCTGTGTCTGATTAAAGAGGAATGAAAGTCCAAAAATTGCTGCAATGCGAGAGTTCAACGAAAGCGACTACAAAAGTAAAAATACAATGGACCTAGATGAATAAAGTGCATGACGTCATAACGTGACAACTTCATATTCACGAAGCTTCAGGATAATTTTAAAACACACACACACACATCGCTCTAAACGCATGGAAGTAATTATGATTATTAAATCGTCAAACTTACTTTGACGTAATTGCGTGATTAAATACGACGTAATTAGATATAACAAACTACGGGTAGTCGATGTTTTTGAGAAATGTAAGTCTTTTTTCCAACAAGGAAATTATAGGCCAGTCCACTCTCATACTGGTAAATTTACTTTGTGAATAGTTATAATTATTCATTGTTCAATAAATTTATTTCATAGAAAAGATAGCATTTTGTTTTTAACCAAAGACATTTTCAAAGCGAATGAAACATAATACAAATGATAATTCAGTCGTAGATTAGGGGTAAGTCGGAATAAATTACACGGGCTAGTTTCGAATTTAAAATATTTTAAAAAGAAAATTCACCAATATGAATGCAAGTTAGAGCTTGAATAATTTATTCTGACTTCCTTTGGATCTACCACTGCATGCATGACATAACGGAATCAGCTAGAGTGGACTGTGTTAGAGTAGAAGGAGAGAAACAGAACTGCCCTGCATGTATGATGAAAAAGGTTTTACCCTTGTATACCATAGTATACCCTGCATACATCTCATACTTAATGTGTCACCCATATTATATTTCATTCACTTTGTCAAAATGGAAACGTTAGCTCATATATGGATGCGGGTTTTTTTTGGGTTATTATATTTATATTACGATTAAGACTTCTGCCTGGTTCCTTGCACTTATATTGGGTAACGACCATTGCACAACTGGGTTTTGAACTAAGGGGCTTAAATACGAAAATAACATTATCGTTCGATCGGGAGGTCATTTCTCTAAATGTAATAAAAGATAGACTAACCTTGTCCGAGGCAATCGCCTTCCAGTGTGCCGTCCACTCCCGAACGACTTGAGAATTATCGATGATACCACAGCCTTTTAAGTTGCAAAGCAGCATTCCAAATGCTGAGGCTAAATCAACGCTCTGTGAAATTATGAGGTCTGTTAACGATCTGCTGGATACTGTTGTGAAATTTCTCTAATATACGTATATAAATTTTATCAAACAACCCCCACCTCTGGAAATGTTTCTGTGACTTCCTTAATCATATCAAATGTCTTCAGTACAGATTCAACCTCCAGGCAATCTGTAGCAAAACGGCTCACAGTACAACATGCTAAAGCAATTCCAAGTTCCTTGAAACAAATATAGTAATATAACTGCATAATAAGAACTATTGGATTTTTTGCCCAGCGTAACTAATAAAAAGTTACAGAATAACTGATCTCTATATGTAGAGCTATGTATAGAGCTTCGAACCAACTCGGACTGCAAGTGCGCTAGCTCAGAATGCAAGTGTGCTAAACATGTTACGAAGAAAACTATTTCTTAAGGCAAATAGCTTCCAATGAAAACTTTTATCTCACAAATCACTATAATATTGAACAATAATCTGAAATTAGCAGCTGTCATACTTGGTGTGCTTAAAATTTTGTTTTTAAGGTTCAACGTTTCAGGCAACACTTTTGAATTAGCTGGCGACATGATATTTTCGAATATTGTAATATTGTGCCATAGCACGCAAAATAACAGGAGCTGTACAAGAAGGAAAAATGTTCTAGCAATCGAAAAGTGAAAAAATACACAGGGCTATCTTAGCGCATCATTAGTTTGAAATGCGTTTGGAGCATGAGGAGTGCCACGCGTTTGACCTGGCCTTATGCTCTGGACCATATGTTTATGTATACCTACATTATCTGTACTCCAAAGTTTAAATTCATAAACAACACTTGACCTGATATTGAAAACTTACGTTGTAAAAGGTATATTATATTCCTTATAACACGGGAAGTGACTCAAAATACAACACAGCTGTACCTGTAATTTCTTACAATCCTGATCACGTTTGACACGTTCGTTGTTAAAGCATTCCACCATCTTGGAGTACGACGATTTAGCGCGGTCATTTACCAAAACGTCAGTATCGTAACTTAGTGAAGACATTGCCAAACCAAGACCGTATATCGCTCCCTCTCTAGAAAGAAATGTTTAAATAGAATTCAGCAACGACCTAAAATAATAACACTCGGGTTTCGAGGTATATAGCCCACTTTTTTCCATGTAATTATGTAACCTATCGATTTCTAGTTTACGCCAATTAAATTATTAACAATCGGTGGCATATATAGCTGTATTAGGCCTAGGTTCAATATGGCATTATGGTCATACTAATCGTTTGAATAACTTTGCAAATATAACAGGGTCCATTATGGTGGTAGTTAATTAACACGCATTTTTCAAATGGTATATATATGCTGGGATAGCCGAACTTCATGTAGAACAAGGGAAAATAACAATAAACGCACGTGTTGTTTGATTCACTGGATAAGGCTTCTTTTCTTAAAGCATCAAAGGTTGTTGCAACTAGTATATCTCCCTAAAATATAAGACAGTGCCAGTTTTTAGAATACAGTTGCTTTGCTCGATAAACGCCTTCTTTAAAGGAGAGAATTACTACAATAGTGCATGGGGAGTGCACGCGGGCGGCATTACTTAGTTCTCTCCATTCCATATCAGGGAGCGCAAACGGGTTACTTTAACTTTGACTAAATATCGGCGATACCTATATGGAATGCTATATGTATAGTGAAATTAAAATTGCGGCCAAACATGGTCACGGAATCTACAATAACATTATTTTCTACCTATACTTCAATCCTTACTCGATGGAGTTTCAGCAAAGCAAGCTTTTAGCTCATAAAATCATGATGCCACATATCTCAAATCGAAATATCAGGACACTAAGATTTGGGCGCAATTTTTAAAAAATCGCGAAGCCGAAAGAATATTCGCATCGTTCTCATTTTATTGACATGCATGCCGGGTCTATTTTGTATCGCGACGGTTTGGGGATTTCCGATGAAAAACAGCGGTTGAAAATAATAAACTTTGGCCTGTATGACTTAATTGAAGCAGCAATACGTGGCATGGATGAATGGATATCAGCGGGAAAGGTTATCGATACAATACTTAACTGGGGCAATATACTATACCTCCTGTCCCAAAGAATCACTAAAGAAAAACGACGAAAAAAATAAATAAAATTATAGGCTAAATTTTGTAAACCTTGTTATAGGGCCTAGATACCCGAAGCATCACTTTAAGGAGTGGTCTTTTTCACCCTGCATTCTGGTTCCGGCAGCGTTACAAGGACGCCATGGTCAACCTGCCTAAAGCAGAGGGTTGTACGTAGAACGATAATTCGGGGGGGGGGGATATGCAGAACTGATTATATATGAAGAAACACCTTTCCTCAATTATCGTTCTATTTACGCCACTACTAAAGCAGTTCAGATTGCCTGTCCCAAATAAAATGCATACAAACTCACAGATCCGAAACGGATAACCTGGTATAGTTTTTCTTACCTGATATTTGTGTCATATAATTTTTGTACAATACTTCCCAACGCTATGCAACAATGTGTTTGTACAACAGTTTGACTGTCTGCCCTGGTAAAAAAACAGCACGTATCTTTTAATGTTGTTATTTCGCGGCTCCATTTTCGGAGCATGTATAAAAATGGTGTAAAAGGGAGGGTGTATCTCGCTACCTGGTACTTTCCCCAAAGGATATCCCCATGCAAAAGGTTACAGCAACGTATACAAACTAGTAATTTAGCTTGCATGTAGGTACACATAAATTTTTAATACGGCAACTTTTACTTTGCAGTATTAAATATACTAAAGTGGTGTACCTACAAGCTAAATTACTTACCGAATGTTACCATGCAAACATACAAGAATAGTATACAAAATAGCTATTGAAAACATCAAAATCTAATATACTTTGCCTGTTCTGACATTCTCGTCTGCAATACTTCAAGCACTTGTTTGAAACGCTCAAATTCAGCATCAATTAGGCATGGTGTGATTTGAGCCAATGCAATGGCAGCTGCAGCTTGAGCTAACAATGTTGTGGATGAAACCTGCATGTTTAAAATGGACGTTATTTCAGCTATAAAAAGCAACACCCGAGATCTGGAAGCCATGACTATATGTACTCAAATTATGTATACTTTATCATATTTTACATAGTCTTTCGATTTATCAAAATGAAAATAGCTCGATACACTATATCAATAGCAAGAATAGGCAGGTGATAGCACAACTCGAACTAAGAAAAGCCTAATTAAATTCTTATGCAGCTATCTATTCTTCATTTGTTTATTATATTTGATATACTTCTAGAAAATTCACTCGTTTCCATGCACAATCAATGTAACTGTTTTAGTCATTCGTTAGTCTCTTACTAACTTAATTAGTAAAAGTGTGGTTCCGATAACACTAGCTGCAATATCCGATAGCTGTTAGATCCGATATGAAGTTGTTTGGGAGGCATTAGCCTCCCCCGCAGGAATCTCTTATGTGCTTATATGAGATATATTAGGCATGGGTTAGCAGTGTAGAAAGGCCTGCGGAGGAGGCTAGGTTGGCGGACGTGAATAAAGCCTAAAGTGAATCTTAGAAACAAAAAATATAATAAAAAGATTTGAAACCTTTAAAATACGTTATTAAATAGTTTTACGAATTCTGTCATATATTTTAGATAATAGAGGCCTTATAATATATGGCTTTAAAATACTTCTAACTGAAAAAAAAACGTTTAAAAGAGGCGTAACCAAGTTTCCAGACAACATAACAATGTGCAATATTTTTAATTTTTCACTCTTACCTGCTTTCCCCAAGACAGTGGAACCCCAACTGTTTTTAATTTTCTGTCAAGTGTAACTATCAATGTGTCAGCGACACACGCAATCCACTCCTCGGCGCTAATACAACCTTCACGCTTGTAGTTTGCCAGCAATTCCTGATTAGTCGTGACATCATCGCTTGTGCGAACGAAGACAGCATTTGCCAAAGCAGCCAATGCTAACAAGGAATTGCAATGCATAATTTGGCTACCTCTATAATTATATGAAAACCAAAATACCTGCGGTTAGAATGTATACAAGGTATACCGGAACTAGGGAAGCCAGTGGGGGGCTACTGTCTTGGTTCTTTTTATTAGGCGGGTCATGTCGCAGCTTTCGGAAGCTTTCGTTCAATTGGATAATGCTTTTCTATGCTTTCTAAAGAACGAAGCCATGCTATTGGTTGAAACAGAAATGTATTGTAAAGTCCAGCCAATGAAAATCATTCTTACGAGAAGCTGCAAAACTACCCTATTAGGCGGGAAGTGTGCGGCGGGAGATGCCCTTTCAATTCATTGTAAAAATTTTCCATATGATGTAATTTGTTGATTTGGTTCGTAAAACGATAGCATACAAATGCAAGGGTAGCTTAATTGTATGGCGAAGACCACTGATGTTTTACTTAATTATCGTATGTATCATGTGCCCTGTCGCCCAAATCTGCTTCCCACCTCTGTCAAGTTGTTAACTTTTTGGCGCAACCATATAGGCGTGACTAAACGCCCCGCTATTGGCTGTTAAGGCTCGAATAAATGTTGAGAGTGATGTTACTGAGTGGAAGCAGTTAGGCTTTAGGTGCGTGATTGCATGCATGATGATGGATGAATATAATTTTTGCCATGGAGTTTACTTTGGTATTAATCAATGTATGTATTAATCAAGGATTTTGATCACTTATACATTCATGCATAATTAGGACTGCATAAAATATAAGAAGATAGCGGCCAATGCATGAATAAAGACTAATTATAAAGTACCCGGAATTTAAAAGAAGACTTTTTAATTAATAAATTATTTCCTTACTTTGATGCAGCCTTGAGAAGATCTGTTAATGCATCTCTGGTCCTAAGAATTGGAGCAAAAATCTGATTTTCATTCGGAACTATTGCCGTGCAATCATTTCACCAAAGAATCTTAACCCTTATTATATCAATTTCTCGCTAAAATAATTTTGTCCGGATATTTGATTATTTGATTGATTGCATATAAAGCATATAATATGATAAGCTTACCAGGACGACGCATTCTTCAAGCCTTCGTTATATGCCTTCTCGTCAATTTGTCCGCGTTCATTCTGTAGTTCTAACTCGGCTCTCCGTCCCTAATAAGAGTAAAGGTATAAGTTTACTTCAGGTAAACAATGAAATAAATACAGTAGTCCCTCAACATTACATATGCGTTAATTATCCATGCGTTTACATCTCGTGTAAAACACAACATGACATTGTTTTTTAACGCATGTGTATGTTTTGCTTCGGATAAAAATTTCGAAACATATATACAGGCAACAAAAATTGCATGAGTGAAAGATTCTCCAGTTTGCAGGGCAATATTTTCGTTGATTTAGTCACGCACTATATTTTGGTAAGAATTAATGCTTTACTCCAAATCCATCGCGGACTTCTAACAGGAACAACAAGAAAATATTATATTGAGAGCCTTAACACACTGAAAAATTATTCTGGCGTCAAGTTAACTAGTTGCTTCCTTTCGGTACTTTTCACTTATATATCGGCTTGTTTCATGTATCGCGCAGCGGTACAAATTGCGGTTCAATCGTCGGAACCTATTATAATTGTCAGTTTATTATTACTATAATCCTTTGGTATAGGCACTATTATTCATATCAAAGTCCATTTAACAGTAATTATGCTGGGTATGTTAAATTTTGATTGATATAGGCAGTGCGCAAGGCTAAAGAATTTCTAAATGTAGAATGTCCAGCATGTCGAGGATTGAGCAAAATAAGAATGCTCTGCGGTATAGAACATATACAGACTCGAAAACATCTTCGCAAGCTCAAAGACGTCTTGTCAAATGAAGACTTCGTACCCATTAAATTGATGTTCACAAAATGTAAGATATAAAACAAAATCTAACGTTGTCTATACCTTAATACCACCATCATGTCGCATTTTTAAATTGTTAGCAGCAAGAACATCTCGTGCTATTTGGTGATGTGACAGTGCGATTAAACTATAGGCAGCCTAACTTTTCTTTTTTATCACAGATGCTTTATTCATACCTGAACATAAGAATCAAAAACTCGATTCATAAACAAAATCCAAGCATGAGAAATTTCAATATTTGACCGCCAATCAGAAGACTTGACAGGAACCTTTAGGAATATAGAAAGTGCAGAAACTATGATTAAAGAATGATTGATGACAAAAGGCCGATGCGAGAAGAAAATAGCAGGGTAACAATGGTAGGCAATGAAAAAAAATCATACATATACGTACATCTTGAACCAACTGATTAATCAGTTGACGATATAATTTAATATTGTTTACAACTTGACTTCTTATTGGTTTACCGGATCTCTTCTCGGCATGAATTTCATAAGAATACAACAAAGATACTAGAAACAAAATGCATTGCATATATGCAAAACAATCCACTTAGTGCATGTATATTACGCAGAACGATATCGACGAAGCTATTTCAGACATCCTGACATATAATATGGGATATGAAATCATGGGATACTTAATTATATAGGTTTAAATTATTTCAACAACTATAATAGAGGGTTACAAATTATTATATTAATTTGTTCTCTTGAGTGTTGTTGGCTACACTCTGTCAAATCGCTCAAATCACTTCAGCAAGATTTCCAGTCTAGACAAGACCTGTTTTTCATATTCGCACAACCGCGATTGCATGCCATTACGAGATATTCTCACGGCCAAAATTTCCATACGATTTCACACGATGGCGTATAAGAAGTCGCATTTTTTATCGCCTATTTGTTGGCTTGGAATCTTCGCGGGCAATTAAAGTCCTCGTGGATAATGTAGAAAAATTAGCAAGTGACAACGATACCCTGATGCAGACAAGTTAAAAATTATTATTTTTACCCTGCTAATTATACGTTAACCGTAGGATTCAAACGGCAAAAGCAATCTATTCGTTTTGCTTCGACGTTTTTGTCGCATTCGTTCGCTTAAAACCAGGTAGCATCGTTCATTGTTTACAAATGAGGACCGCTTCAAATGGAATGTATTTGCTGTTCTCTCTCTCGGCTTATATGCTTTAGTTACGCTAAAACGAGGCTGTAAGGGCCAAAACATTGATCCTCGTTTTCGTTGTAAAATTTTCTCCGAAATTTTGATCAAAATAAAGAAAACATACAGATGTTAAAGAAGGATGTTTTGCATCCGTTCACATGACTCATAAGAATAAAACTAAAATCCATTTTAAACAACGACGTCTAGTTGACTTAATTACACGAATGGTCCAAGATAATGATAAAAAATTCTATACCTGCAATTGAGGACTTTAGAGATGGTTGTTTGCATTTGTCGTATTGTTTTTTCAGTTGTTCGGGAATAGAGGACATTGATTTGTTTTCGCTAGCTTGAACTGCTTTCATCTTGCTATGTTCCACGCCTCGTGGAAGGTTTGAGATTTCCTGGGCTACAATGCTTTTCAAAAACTCTTCCAAACCTAAAGAGAAGTGCACAATATTGCAACTAATAATATAACTTTAATAAACTTCACAGGCGACAGATAAAACACTGCATGGCAGATTAGTTGCATAAACAACAGCAATTGCCTGTATAGCGCTGTTATGCAAGGCCTCGCTGCCAATGACGGTTTCATCAGAAAGCTAAGCATCACTAAGATATAAACTTTAAGGGATTTTTTTCACTACTTCGCAGAGCTTCAAACCTTAAAAAATACGTTAAGCTTAGTTGACATTATCTCGAATGCATTGACCTAAAAGTGTTACCTTGATAACAACCAGGGAAGATTACTTTTCTCTGCAAGAGCTCTACATAAAAATATGCAGGAATCGGTAGAGTTTCGATGTCCATTTCTTTCTCATTTTGTAAACACTCTTCCATCATTTTCTTAATCTTTGGTGTTAAGAGAAGACGCTGGGTAACTGTCTGACGAGTCTAACGAAAACATAGTGTAACATTTAGTAATGCATGTAAAGCATTTTAAATTTTGTCTCTCTCACGAAAATGGCGTTACATTTCACTCATGCAGCCAAAGATTCAATTTGATTCAAGTCCAGACATGGTTCTTTTTCAATTTTACTATGGGCAGTAAGAAGCAAGATAGGAGGTAGGCTGTCTTAATTTTAAGTAGAGACTGGGCGATCGAGGGCAAAAAAAATCATTTGTTTTTTTGTATCATTTGTTTTCCATCGTAATTATCGCTACTCTGGTTTTAGTAAATGAAAGTAATCACCACACAAAGATTAACTTTCACGACCCAACGTTTCGACACTCCGGTCTAGTGTCTTCATCTGGGGTGATCTGATGTTGAAACTCGGTTCCTTATATACTCTCAAAATGACGTCATCTATTAATTAAGAATTAAAAAACGAGTCGCGTGCCTTTATGGTGTAATAATGCACGATGGGGGAATGTTGGGAGAATACGAGAGAAGCTTGTAGAGTATTCTCCCAACATTTCCCCGAGTGCATTATTACACCATAAAGGCACGCGACGAGCTTTTTTAATTCTTTTATAATATAAGAAGAAATTATAGGGCAACAACAAAATTTATTTATTTGATCAATAATGAAATTCTCCTTACATGTTATTTAAGATGTTGCTTAGCAACAAAAACTTCAAAAGCCAGAAGCGTGCATTATGGCCTCACAATGCACGCGCGGTAGCCAATCAAATTGCTCATACTTATATTATAATCAGATGTAAATATTCTTTTGGCAAATAGCTTCCGTCATCCCCATTAAGGGCACAAAGACTCGCATTAATATGCCAGGCTTCCAAACAACGCCTATGTCCATAACAAACCTCATTGTTTTTTTCAGTTAAAACAAATTCCTTCTGTTTAAATAATTGTCCGAGTTCGACTGAATTAACCGTTGCATGGTGCGGTATACGGCGGTGAAAATGATTCAATCACATATACAAGTCTCGCTAAAACTAACCTGCTTTGGAAGGTGTCTTATTAAAAAATCTTTAGTTTCAAATTTTGACAAAGCTTTGTACGATGCATCTGATATGTCTTCATTCTACAAAACGAAATTCTTTTAGAATGAGCAGATACCCTAGATTTAACAAACATATATAAACGGAGATATCAAAATACCAAAGGATGACTAAAAATATATATCTCTTTACAAAAAGTATTAACACTAGTTGTTAGCAATTATCCATGAGAAAAAAAACACTGTCAAATCATGTGCATTTCCGTACATAATTTTGATGCATATCTGTTCGAAAAATGCTATCTTGAATTTTAATAGGTGTTCTAGAGAGTGTAGAACGGTTATATACCTCATGCTCTGAATATCTCCAGAGAAACAACAATACGTTTTCTTTGAAATTCTAAACGAAATACAGGAATAAACATCAGGCATTTATTCCGAAACCACTATAGTTACAGAGTAATAATTCAACAAAATTACGCATGCACAAAACTGGAAAAACCTCTAAATTGACGCTCTTCATTCTGGAGGACTCCAGCGGCTAATTGGATTTCGTGCAGGATAATATATATATTATATAATATATTATATATATATATATATATATATATATATATATATATATACATGTTTAAAAATTTGTAATCCAGGCATATTTGTTTATCAATAAATGTTCTCCGGATTTAAAATTGTTTTTTATTGAGCTTTCGACTTGGTACTTCGAGTCTTCTTCAGAATATCTAAATTATTTACATGTGTATAGCTTTATTATTTAAGTTTCGCGCTGTTCTTTAAGACTCTGTATACGTTGAGAGCGTCTGATTGGTTGTTTTGAAGTTGATCTGATATGAGTGGTAGTTGAGGGATGCGTTGTCATGGTTGACTGCATTTCGTTGTCAACCATGACAACGCATCCCTCAACTACCACTCATATCAGATCAACTTCAAAACAACCAATCAGACGCTCTCAACGTATACAGAGTCTTAAAGAACAGCGCGAAACTTAATATATAAAGCTATACACATGTAAATAATTTAGATATTCTGAAGAAGACTCGAAGTACCGAGTCGAAAGCTCAATAGCTCAATAAAAACAATTTTAAATCCGGAGAACATTTCTTGATATATATATATTATATATATATTATATATATTATATATATATATATATATATATATATATATATATATATATATTATATATATTTTATATATTATAATATATTAATATATTATAATATATATATATATATATATATATATATATATATATTAAAATATTTCTAAATTTAATCCTATCAAGAAAATTTGCAAACCTCCAACAAAGTAGATTCGTGAATTCAATTAGAAAAGCTATTATGTAGTGCGTGGATTAACATCAGTGTAAGGGAATATCTCTATATAGCACTAACCTCATATTGCTTTGAATCAACAACCGATGACGGTACGAGAGAAAACAAATCACACAGGCCACGCAGGACCATTGGGTTAGAATGATGCTCCAATTTAGCCTTAAAACCTCCCAAATCGTTGCCAAATTTATAACCTATACGAGGTAATTATATCCACTGAATTAATTAATACAGCGAGAGTATGAGGGGTGTGAAAAGAGATTTTTAATCACTACGATTGCCTCCAAGAAGAATATTGCACACTCTATATAAAAAGAGTTCTCTAATTTAGCTCTTCGAAAGCAAAAACAAGAATTATGATGATAAGTTTACTCTTCCGTGAAGCTACTTTTCACGTGATAAACAAATTGTCATAAGGAATAATTAGAAAAATAACAATAATATTAAAACGAAAAAGAGTGCTTTCTCGTGTATGAGCATATGCATAGAAATTTTGTTCATGTTAAATTTGGCTTTTGTAATTAATAAATAGTTTTAACGCATGGTCGCACTTGACCCTTACCTCTGCTGCAACCAAAGTTTCCAGGGAATCCAAAGCAAGACAAACTAATACAATATTCACTTTCGAATCCTTATCAGCATTTTCATTAATAATCGCATCAATCATGCCAACGAGATCTTCCGCGTGTTGAGAAGGTCTAAAAATACAATGATACAGATTTCCAGGCTGACTTACCAACATAATGCTAAAACGTTTTCCAGGCCAGCCCAAAAAAAAACTATACAAAACGACGAATTTGGAGCTATATCGGCACCTGTTACCCCCATCGACCACTGCGCTCGTACACAAAAGCTGTTGCTTAGCTCGTCCACTGTACCTACACTGGCATCCCCCAATTTTTAACCTTTGTACACCGGTTCAAATGTTCCGGTTATGGAACTGGAGAAATTTCGTATTAGATCAATCAGCATTTATTTACACTTTCTGTAACCCAAATAGAATTGACTATATTCCGGTCAAAAAGCACATTATTTACCTGGTTATATGCGTATCAAATATTCAGGCATTCTAATGGGCTTTACCTCAAATTCCTCATTTTTCATTTATGGGGGAACGACAGATGCGTTGACACTGGAAGTTTTTAAACCACTTTGCCTGATTCTGAAATAACAGTTACCATCTCTGGATCTAACCCGCCCATAGTAGATTATTCCCCAGGGATTATTCTAGGCTGGATTTCTAGGATTCTAGGCCAATTTCTTTTAAATTCGCTCTGCAGTAATCTCGCGAGTCTGGAGGTAAAGTCCCGCGAATTTGGCTTCACAAAAAACAATAGGAGGTATCGTTCCAGTGATTTATTAGATTTCAAAGATATATACTGCATACGTTATAGGTTAAACTTTGTTGTCATGCAGAGCATTTTAACAACCAAAAGTGGCAGAACACAGTGCTGTTCTGATAACCAACCAGAACACGTAATTTTTCACTAACAAGTATTAATCATGGCGACAATTTGAAGAAATTAAACCATAAACAAACCTTTCTCTACAGATATCCCTTATTGTCACAGCTTTAGCCAGTTGAAGTTCGGCCCAGGACTCCGGGTTTAAAGATAGTGTCTTTTCTTGAAGCATGGGGTGCAGATGCTTAAAAACTCGTGGTTGGGACATCCAAAGTTTAAACATTAATCTAAGAGTAATTGCTTTGAGTTCGGAATTGTTGTTAAGAACCAGCAATATACCCAAGACTTGTTTTACGCAAACCTATATATCGATAAAAAACGTCACGTTAATACGTACGAGTTTTCCCGCCTGAGAAAGGTGAGCTAACTTTCAAATTAAATTGCATTTAATCAGAGCCATGCACTATGCAAAAGTAAGGCTAAAACTTAACAGCTGCCGTCAAAAAACAAGGTCGATCTTCAGGCCTACGCGAGTTTAATTATATCCAAATTGCAAGAGCCCTGAAGCCGATATGACAGCAGAATAACTGAGAGTTGTTTTAAGGAGTTCGAATTCACAGACGCAGTTCACTGACGTCATAATTCCTAAAGGTTGTACTCCAGGGCCCGGTTATACGTAAGCTGCATAACATTATCCACCGGATAGTAATTTTTTCAATCGCTTTAAAATTGCTCGTTGTTGGGTGAAATATGGCTTGAAACATTGGTCACTTTAAATAATGAATTTTAGAAAAATCACTATTACGCTGGATAGCTTTATCGTAACTGGCCCTGGATGCTTCATTGTCTCACTAAAAGAATTGTAATGTGAGCGGTGTTGGCTTACGTGATTTTTGCGAACAGACATGCAGTAGCCTGACCATGCAGCCTGGCGATTTGTCCCGCTACGCTAATATTTCGGTGTTCATTGACGGTGAAAACAATAAATTTCTAAAGACATGAATAGTTAAAATAACTCGAAATTTAATGGCGGGACAAAATCGCAAAACTGGCTACGCCACTGCCAACAGACTATTGACATATTGATATTTGTCAAGTTAGACTATATGTTCATTTCTCCTCAGTTGTTCGTAAATAAGATTGCTTTAATTAATAAAATCTGGTGGTTAATGTGTACATGATGGTATAGATTTGTTCTATATATTTTAACAAACCTTATGGGTCGCAAGTTTAGGAATGGTCTGAAGCAAATGAAATTTCTCTTCTGGTGTTGAGCATCTTTCCATTTTAAAAAGCATCAATGGAAAAAAGTACGGTGCCTATGAACGGGGATTATAAAAAGTTGTTTACTCTAGATCGGGTTGGTAGATTTTCTGAATAAAAATATATAACCAAATATTATTAACAGAACATTTGTTTTATTTGTTTAAAACAAAGGAATCAAAAAGCCGCAAATAACAATGTATGGCTTATATTTATTCAGTATCACACCAGCCCTGCTCTACATAGAAAAAGTCTAAAGTCGCCAGATTTGATAACATGCATAAGAGTTAGTTGTCCACAGACTAAATTTGGTTGTTTAGATTGTTACCTCCGAAATTAACAATAATAACTACCTGTGTTGGGTCAGCTTTGCATACCGATACTATGGTAGTCAGAACATGAACAGTTATCGAACTGTTACAAGTCAACAAGAAACTTGAGACAAGTAATGAGATGAAACTTAATTCTTTATTGATCTGGCTGGAAGAAGATAACGATGTCTCCACAGAACGCAGCCATTGCAGGAGTGCTGACTCATCATTGCTAAAGAATAAAAATGAAAGTAAAATGTCAACGTAACCTAAGATTTGGGATATAAACTCGATTAAATGCTTTTTAGCAGCCATTTTGAAACGTCCCTGTTGCTAATAGCAACGACTGCCAGGCACAAGTTCTGAATAGATTTAGGTATGTTGCCTGAAAATGTAAAATTTTAGTCTTCTAGTGAAACGTTTAGATGCTGAATATCCCTGTTTAAAATGTGCATTAAAATTTTCGAGAAACTGTAGGGAGCCACCTTAATTGAGATACTAAAAAAAGCTAGTTTCCGATCAAACCAACTGTCCTGCATTGATAGAGCAAAAAATCAAGATTCTATTTGTCTGAGTCCAGGAAGCACAGAAAGACTCCTATTAACCAGGGCCAGGATACATACAATAAGCCATCTAGAGCGTTAGGGGGGGGGAAAGGTAAAGACTAGTTGCCAGGCATGAGTGGGGTGACCAACTGAATATTAGAATGTATGTTTGTTGGAAAAACTATAAAACTAAGACGGATTGTCAGGGCTTCGAAAAATACACTAAACTTCCAAATATACCCGAGGATACTTCAACCTCGTACATAATCTTCCAAACTAGTTTGCTGCACCCCTCCTGTAACCCTCCGCGCACGCCCAAGTAAACTATTTGCTGGTTCTTACTAAAGAAAATTTTCCTTAGATGCAGCCCGAACAGAAAAATGTACTTCGTTTTTCGTCCACCAGAACAAAATTGAGAATTTCCCTATTTAACTCAATTTATAAAGTAGGTCTAGGGAAATTTACCAATTGAGCTGAAAAGAGCATTCCGAAATTTGTAAAACTATGTTGCATTGAGTAGTTAATTATTCTTATTATTAGTATATTATGAATATTCGGCAATGCACTCCCATCGCCTTAAAGTTAACTGTATGTATAGAGGCGTTTGTTTAAATCATGCATACCGGCAATGATATGTACTCCATGTACTTTGTATATATAAATCTGCCATTTACGATAATAAAAGGAAAGTGAAAGCAATCTATCTCACCGGCATAAAATATAAATGTTTTCACAAATACTGCACTTCTTCAATAACTCCCCCCGAGGAAAAGATTCTGTCTGAAATGAAAACACGTGACATATAAAGACTATATACCAGAAGTAATCAAAGATTAGCAAGTGCGTTCGGTGATCGGATTTCTTATCGGTAAAGTACTGCGAGATAGATTCCTGATGCAGGTGAAGCAAGCGCAAAAACACGAAAGCGAGACAAATGCCACACAAAAATCTCAAAACGACATAGCATCCAGCCGTGACGTCACGATTAGAAAGCGTTCTTCTTCGTCGAACGCAATTACGATCTTTCTTGAGACCTTGACTCCCGTGGAATGACAAAAATCACAAAATCATGGAATCTACGATACCTAAAATGCCTTGTTTTTTTTAAAAAGACGACGACAAAGTCAAAGAGAGGGAGTCGACAAAATTAGGCCAGGCCTTGCGTGAAACCTACTTCGCCCAGTCAGTGGCCGACCTAAGTCGTGGCTTTAGAGACTGACTAAGCATTGTCGGGGTGGAATGTGAAAAACAATAAGCAATACAGATAATCACAGGATATTAGCCAATATATAATTCTGACCTTGTTTTCATTTGTCAAATTTGTAGATTGAAGGGCATCTTCAATATCTTTCAGAAGTTTAGAAGCAAGAGTGAAAACGGTGGTTTCTTTTTCTCGGTGTCTTGATGAGGAGAGAATTTGCAGCAAAGGAAGAATCAAAAAGGAAAGTTTCTGTGTGCCATCGCCACCTTTCGACAGGATGTAATGGGCCAAGTTTGAAGCTGAACGAGAACACAAGATATTATTTAAACAACATAGAATGCTGCTCTATATACGTCCCCCTAATCTACAGTATATATCACTTTGCATACTAGCATCGTTGGCGTAATTAACATATTTTGCCTAATCAAGACCAAGAT